TCTGCATGATGGGTGTGCGTTATTAATTAATTAAAAAAATTTTGAACAGATACTACCTTACATGTGAACTTTAATTTAGTGTAATTGTATATATAAAGTTTTGATTTGGTTCAGTTTTTATAAATTACTAAAGTTATTATTGTTGCAACATCATTTTATATTTATATGTAATGTACCACAATCACAACTCTAATCTAATACGAAAGTAAATTGATATATTTTAATTCTTAAAACGTGTATTTATATAATTAAATCAAAATTTTATTTATATAATTAAATCAAAATCAAACTTTTATGTATATAATTACACATTTAACTAATGTTCATGTGTATTTGTGTAATCTTAAAATTTATATTGTGATTTGAGTTAATAGTTTAACTATAATTTAAATTATACAACGAGAGTTACTAAAAAAATTCAAACGATTTGAATAATTACTTTTGATTCGATCTGTTTATGATACATAACTTTGACAAAGTCAGTGAAAATGTCGGTTAGAATTAAATTTAATCCACGTGTTTTATTTTTAATTATTTATAATTTAAATAATTTAGACTACAAAATAATATCTATTTAGATTCTTTTAATAATTAACGACACAGGTACACTCTATAAACATGGTTATGAAATTCTAAAAAGGATAATATATCCTTTACTTACACCATTCCGAAACTTTTAAACCATCATTAATAAGATTATTTTAGAAAAGAAATGGAATTTGATTGTGGAAAGCATTTCTAATAAACTATTATTTCTTAGTTCATGACCCATATATATGCGACACTAAATTCACTTTAACAATTACCATAGATAATGATGGGAAATTACTACACGAGTTACTGTGCGGGAGGAGAGCGGTGGTATCGTGGCGATACGTGATAGGATAGGAACCAAAGTCGAACCTTTCCCTAATGAGGTAAGGACTAAAATGTAAATTCATGAAAAATTAGAAGGAGAGACACAACGGCATGGGCGCGCGTGGGCCTCCAAACCTCGAACAAAAAACAACAGCGCACCGCCATGATCAAAACCCACAAAAGGACACATTCGTCATTACAGCATTCCTTCCGATCCATTTCCGTCATTTTCTACCCGTGTCCACTCGTACTCTAAACTCTCCCCTCCACACTCTCCACTCAACGCAGTCTGCAACTTTTTTTCTACTCAAAATTCTCCATTTTCTTTCTTTTTAATTTCTCTTTGTTTGTTATAGAAGAAACGGAGGGAAAAAAATGGGTTCTCGGGTTCAGTCTCATCAGCTCAGCAATGGGTTGTTTGTTTCTGGAAGGCCGGAGCAGCTAAAAGAGCGGCAACCGACAATGTCGTCACGGGCGGTGCCGTACACCGGCGGTGATATCAAGAAATCCGGTGAGCTTGGGAAAATGTTGGTTGATCGTTCCTCTTCTAGCGGTTCTCCATCGAATCCCAACTCCAACCCCAACTCGAAGCAGCAGTCGCAAGTTCTGCAGCCTTCACGTGCCTCGTCTTCTTCGCAGCCCAACAGTGGATCCATGCGATCCGTGTCTATCTCGGGTACGATCAGGAAATCGTCGGGTCCCATGCCGCTTCAGCCAACCGGACTAATCACTTCGGGTCCGCTCAGCTCCTCCGGTCCCCGGAGGTCGGGGCAGCTCGGTCAGGTCGTTCAAACGGGTGGTGTTTCCGGGAAAGCAGGGTACGGTCCCGGCGTGACGAGTCTAGGGAAAGGAGTGAGATTTGGGTTTAGGGTCTCCAAGGCTGTGATTTGGGTGGTTATGGTGGTGGTGGTGATGGGGTTGTTGGTTGGAGCGTTTCTGATGGTTGCCGTGAAAAAAGTGGTGGTTCTTGGGTCGGTGGGCGCGGTGGTTGTCCCCATAGGGTTGGGTTTATTGTGGAATTGTATTTGGGGAAGGAAAGGCTTGTTGGGGTACATGAGGAGGTACCCAGATGCTGAGCTTAGAGGTGCTGTTGATGGCCAATACGTGAAAGTTACTGGGGTAAATTTTTTGTTTCTATTTGTGGAAACTGGAGATAGCTTTAACAATTATTCACATTAATTGACGTGTGTTGATGTGTCGTTTTAGTTTCCATTTTGATTAATGTCTAATATGGTATCTCTTATTTGTCTTTATTATCCCAGATTAATTAACGGGTTTCATGTCTGGGTTTACTTGGCTTGTTCGCCTTGTTTTTGTTTGCAGTTGGTGATTATAGATTGCCAGTGATGTTTAACTGGAGATAGCTTTAACAATATTCCATTAATTGACGTGTGTTGATGTGTCGTTTTAGTTTCCATTTTGATTAATGTCTAATATGGTATCTCTTATTTGTCTTTATTATCCCAGATTAATTAACGGGTTTCATGTCTGGGTTTACTTGGCTATTTGTTCGCCTTGTTTTTGTTTGCAGTTGGTGATTATAGATTGCCAGTGATGTTTAACTAAGGATGGGATTTTAGTTCAGCATACTAAATGTGGATGTTTAGCACTATCTATATTGTTGTTCTGCAAAGAAGGATCGTGTTCCTATAATTGGAAAGGAGCCTTTACAAGGTGTTGAATAGGTGGTCTTCGCCTAATAATATATCGAATCTTTATGGGACAGATTGTAAGACATATCAGTACTGCATCATGAGTGAACTAGTTGGGAATTTTCTGAAGATAGGTTAGCTATGGTATTGGGTTTCTGTTACTCTCAATCATTTATTAGGAGTTACTTTTTGTGCACATGGTGATACCTTCACGAGTAGGCATGCTTCACATGCTAAATGCACTGGTAAGAGTACATTGTCGCAATTTTTTTTTTGTGTGTGTGGGGGGGGGGGGGGCTATGTCTTCCATTGCTATCTATCTACCATTCGTTTGTTCTTATAGATTTTGTCTGTGAATTTTGTCTGTGTGTGTACTAAGTTCCTTGAGTGTTTTCATTTGTTGTAGGTTGTCACCTGTGGTAGCATTCCATTGGAGTCATCTTACCAGAGGGTGCCTAGATGCATATATGTTTCCACTGAATTGTATGAGTATAGGGGATGGGGTGGAAAGTCTGCAAATCCTAAACATCGCTACTTCTCCTGGGGATGCAGACATTCTGAGGGTATTTGTTTCAGCTTAGAATAATCTTAGAATATGCATCTATCATTATTGGCAATCTCAGAAATGTTGGCTTTTCTGTATTTTTCTCTTAGACGATCTTTTTGTTGTAAACAGAAATTTGTTGCCGATTTCTACATATCAGATTTCCAATCTGGATTAAGAGCACTGGTCAAAGCGGGCTATGGAGCTAAGGTTGCTCCATTTGTCAAACCGGCTACTGCAGTTGACATAACAAAAGAAAACAGGGACTTATCTCCAAGCTTTTTAACCTGGCTAGTGGAACGGAATATCTCTAGTGATGACCGTATAATGCGCTTAAAGGAGGGGTACGCCATTTATGGTCTTCTAATTGTAATCTCATGTTAGTTTGTTGTCCACCTCAATTGTATCTTTGTCTGATTTAATTGACTTCATCTCGTTCATTGCTGATAAGAGCGCTTATGCTTTTTTGTAACAGTTACATAAAAGAAGGGAGTACGGTAAGCGTGATGGGGGTTGTCCGGCGCCATGATAATGTACTCATGATTGTGCCACCATCAGTACCTATCTCAACAGGATGCCAATGGAATCGGTGCCTCCTTCCAACATATGTTGAAGGTCTTATCATGACATGTGATGATAATCAGAATGCTGATGTTGTCCCTGTGTAGATACATCGCGATCGATCTCAATTTCTACTTAAGGATGGGGAAAAGGTTGAAGTATCACAATACCAATATAACTCTTTATCTTCCATTGCCTGCAAGATCAAGTGCATACATGAAAATGCGGTAGAAATCAAGAAATATAACACATAAAGGGGAAGTCCGAAACTGCATACTAATCAAAGGATAATCTACTTTTGGATCAGCGTGCCGAGGGAAAGTAAGGATTTTGTTTTTTGGTTGAAGCTATAAATGGAATATGTTGTGTTGTGAAGATGAATGAGTATGCTTTAGTGTATATAAAGTTGCAGAGTAAATTTTAGCACGTGTAAAGTGTTTTTTCTTTGAAAGAAGAGGAAATTTCTAAGCTTTTACGTATTTGGTGCTGGTTTATGTTATGAAATGTAATGTTAATAAAGTAGATGGGCTAATAATTATGGTAGAAATAGTGTAAAGTTGTGCCTTTGTATTGTGCATTGGATGCTCTTCTTCCCATGGTTTAGACATATCGTGATATAAACTGTTTTTTTCCCTCCCTTTAAACGTTAAGTCATGCCATAATGTTTTTGTTTTGTTTCTTACTGTTTTTCAAAAGTACATTTTGAGGCCAAAAGTATTTTTTTGAGCTATAATCAATGTTTTAGCAGATGATTTTGATAGGAATGCATCGTTTTTATGTTTGAAAAAGTATTTGTTAAGTCTAATTACTCCAATTTAAAAAAGTATCCATTTAAACCTGAAATACATTTAAAATTTGAAGGTTGCACGTCTTGCCTGAAGTTTTTTTTGAATTTAATTGATCTACCTCAATCTAAAATCAGTGGTAGATGTATGCTTTATTCATGGTAAATGCGTGTTTATTTTAGAATTTAAACTTTTTTTTTATTTAGCTTTTTTATTCTATTATTGATTGTATTTATCTTAAAATTTTATTTATATTTTTTACATGTAAAAAATTTATATTGTTAGTATACATATATTAACTTCAATTTTAAAAATATTTTTAAATTCGTTATTGTAACTCATGGCGAGTTCTTATTATAATGATAACTGTAGAGGAAAACCACATCCACTATAAAAACAAAAACAATCCAAATCCCAAAGGTATTACTCACTTTCACTTGAGAAATGAAAATATGATGCACGTGGAATATTCACATCTCACGTGTATCAAAATAAACAGCAGATACAGCAACATATCTGCGATGATCCCAACCAAAAAAAAAGTAAATTAAACAAAAGGGTTTAAAGAAATTAATAAAATTTATTGAGGAAAACTACTTTATCCATGGATTAAATTACCTTAGACTTTGATCCGCACGAAAGAGTTGGACATTTACTGCGATGACGATCGGAGTAGTTCATGGTTTTTACTTCCGGAGCCACGGTTGAAAAATTGGAAGCCGGGGGTGCAAGCTTCTCCTCTTTCACTTTGTTGAATATCACAGTAAACCCTTCACCCGATGTGGGATCTGTTTCGTCCCATTCCCCGAATTGCGGTACCGATGTTGTTCTTTGATGCTATTTATTACGTACAAACACATAATTTTATATTAAAGGTCAAATACATAAAATTTTAGGGTACCGATTATATGTTAGAATACTTACTTTGTATTCATAATTCCCATCTAATTGTGATTGTCCTGAGATAGATCCGGAGAAGCTACCTCCGCCGTACCGACCGTTCTTTGGACACGAGCTTGTACGTCGATGATGATTCAAATGCGTAACCGTATGATCCGATCCGGTTCTGATTTCGCTTCCGGATTCTAGTCTTGTGTTCCTTTGCCTTCTTGCACTTCTTTGATGGCCGATAGAATCATTCCTGTTGGAACTACTCGGACGGTGTTTGTATGCCGATTCGGACTTACTCGAACCGGCAGCGAACGGAACGTGATCGCGCCGACAATCATTGTTACCTTCCTGGCCTCCCCTCATGTACATGAACGCCTCTGGATTGCCCTCGGAGTCATTAGGGTTCATCATTTTACCAGCTTTCTCTTTTCCAGCATTTTCCAAGTATGCCGTATCCGGTAGATCATCGTTCGGAACGTGCGAACGCTGTAACAAGCATAAGATCAAGTGTTCAACAATGAGAAACCAGAAAAAAATGTTTTTGCATTGATAAATTAAGCCAATTTTCAGACCATGATCTTCATATGAACTCACCAGCTTTGCTTCAGATATGTCTTCTTGTTCCTTTCGGAAGGACATGTCTTTGCCTCAGTAGTGTTATTTCCCCCCTTTTTGAGGGATAAATATTAAATATGATATCAGTTGATCATAATAACAATCTAATTTAGGGTTTAGCTCACTGGCTCTCCAATAAATTGTACAAGCTAAAGATTGTATCTTGTAAAGTGCAGGGTTAATTCTACAAAATGTCCCAAATATTACCCGAATTGCACGTCAGTCCCTAAATTTAAAAAAAAAAAGGTCCTTCAGTTACACTAGCCACTAGCTCAGGTGTACAATGCCAGATTAAATATGATAATTAACGTATTTAAAACACCGTATTAAAATAATTGATTGATGCAATATCGATACTTTAAAAATATCTTGAATTTTAAGGACTGATGTAGAATTTGAGTAATAGTTTGGGACATTTGATGGAGTTAACCCTATATGACACACCACCTAGAAGGGCCTCTGCTTTAGTGGATATTGAAAGAGTTGGTTGTTTCTGGTGTGCATTTACGAAAACAGCGGTAGATAAGGATGAAAACATATTAACCTTCTATTTTTCTCTAATAATTTGAAGTATAATACCTGTGTATTTTTTTAATCCACAACAATTTTTTTTAAATAAAATATTAACTAAACTTTGGGTTTGGGCGGAGGATATACACGTGGAGCATACGGAGACACGCTGTGTGGGGGCAACATAATTAATTTTGCTTTTGGTACAGTCTACGTGGACTTTCCTTTTGGATGGACAGGGCCACGCGCTTTTACGTTCGTATCCACACTAGTGGCTTGCGTCCTTGGCATGTTCTTCGACCTTATTTTTATAGCAAAAAACATTCATGCTTTCAATGTATTTCAGACCTATTCATGAGAATGACAAAATAGTAACTAAAGTTTTAAATTATATAAATATGTTTTTTATATATGCTTTTTAAATAATTTTTTATATAAGTTTGGAGGAATAAAATGTAATATAGATTAAATTTTTTTTTTGACAAAAACGTTTATACCTCTACATATACGGCGTTCAAACTTAAAATCTCAAGAAATAACAACAAATTTCTTAATCATCAAAGTCACGTGGTTAATGCTATATCAAGATGGTTTTAAACGTTATTTTTGACCTTGATTATATTTAGTTTAAATTCAATTCAAGTCAAACTAAATCTAACTCAAACTTAGGCCAAATCTATGTTAAGTTAAGTCGAGTCGGATATTGGATTGAATCAATATTGAATCGATTGATTTTTGAATCAAGTCAATATCAGATAAATCAATTTATAATTTTATTTGTTGTCTCTTATGTAGAATAACATTACTTTATAATCATTCATATTAAACATTTTTTCAGAAAAAAAAAATTAAAACTTATAATATCTTTAAACCTTAGTCACTCACCCTTTTCTTTACAACTCTCTCTTTTGTCTTCCATTTTTCCTTTTTTTTTCTTTGAGTTTATATCGCTTTTTATAGATTAGATCAACTTTTTTTTTCTTTGATTTTCTTTAGTCGGCGGTGGCACCGGCTTTGATGCTGGTTGCCTCTCGCCAGTTCTCTTTTCTTTTTTTTTTCTTTTTTTTTTTAATAAGAAAATTTTGTATGTGTTGCACGTTTATCTTTGTCTTTGTGGCATATTTATCTCCGTCTTTGTGACACGCTTTTCAATTTTTTTCTCGGTCGTTTTTTCGTTCTTTTATTTATGTTTTCTAAGGGTTGGATTTGACGACGCCAAGACTGATCAAGATGGCGTTTATTTGAAATCTTGTTGATCTTCCCTGCTATAAACCTTTGAATTAAATTTAGATGTGTGATTTTGCGTTTGTAGATAGTTTCTCATGACGCTGGACTCTAATCTGCAGTTCTCGGTGGTCTTTCAATGACTTAATTCATTTTTGTAGTTCGTTTGCTTATGCAATCGATTTATTCGTATATGTTTTTGTTCAAGTCTCTTGGTTTGGTTTTTAACCATTTCCATGTATGGTTTTTATATGATCTAAAGTGGCTAGTTTCAATGCTATAGGAAAAGTCCAAATTATGTATTTAGTTTACGATGATAGTTGTAAACTCTTATTGTAATTTTGAATATTTTCACTTTTTTAATAATACTAGCTGCTTTTATTAAAAAAATAAAAATTATCAAACCAAATATAAAGACAAATTTTTAAAGGAGGAAATGTGACATTGAACTGTTTTATGTTAAGCTAAGTTGATTACAAAGTAATATATGTTTTAAATATTTTAGACTATTTGATAATATACAATCAATCACCTACTACAGTCGTTAGTGCTCGAACATGTGACCTCTAAAAACAACAACAATTCCTTTACTACATAGGTAATATTGAACCTTAAACTATTACAAATGATGATGATTAACTAGTAATATAATTTAAAATAAGAATAAAACATACATCATTTTACCCCAAATATATTTTTTCCAACTCTCCATACGAGTAATTTCCCCCAAAACTTTATTGACATTGTCAAGGACTAACGTGGTGGTAAAATTGCTTGCATGGGGTGTTGTAAAAAATAATTAGTTTGCAAAGAGTCTCGTCAGAATTATTTTTTAAGATGATGTGATCGTTATAGCGTTATGGAAGACACCGAGAACATAACATGTCTTCCCCATTTTTCACACAGCTAAAATGCCAAGATTATTATAGGAACAAAGTAAAAGGTACACTGTGATCACTGCATATTTCCAACGACACATTTTTTAACATTTTGACAATACTATAACATTCACACTAAATCATGAAATAAATTCGACCAAAATTTATGCAAGCCAATAATTTTCCCCCCTTCCCTACATGAGCAATTTTGCCTATTTTCATCTAAGTTCCATCAAAGTGAGAAGATAGATGAACTTAACAAATAACGTCGGGGCCGACCTACATGGATAGTTTTATTCATGGAAATCAATATTTTGGTTGTTTGGTCATTCAAAATTAAATTTTTAACTGGAATTATGATGATTGTAATAGAACAAATTCAATCTTTCGACTAATAATATTAAGAGTGAATCATTGTAATTTGTCGGTGAAAGATTATAAAAATAAAATTTAAAAGCTTAATTAAAATTTATTTACATTTATTAGTATTAAATCATTTTAATAATTGTATTTATTAATCTAAAGTAAATACAATTACTATTTATTTTAAAATAACTCTATAATATTTTGGTACTAATTTCTCATACCTTTAACATTTATAATAATGCTCAAATCTAGGTTTCAAAAAATAACAATAACTTTTTTACTAAAAATTGTTTAATTCGTGAAACCGTTTGAATAATTTAGTAATCAATCAATTATCAATATGATTTTTTATGTAATTAACTATATCTCTTTAACATTGAAAAATTATCTCTATAATATATTTTTATGAAACTCGTCTGAATTAATTATTCAGAATACCATTAATTAATTTTTAAAAACTTCTTATTCAGATTTTTTTGATTAGTTTAGAGTAAGTATGAAATATTAATGATGCTCGAATTTAAATTTTTAATGAATACTAACAATTTTTTTTATCACAAAGACTACTTAATTATTACCTATCCGAAACCTTAACATTTCGTTGATGGAGACCTTTTCCTCAAACACGCCATGGCAGTTGAGGGTGGTTCACAAGGTATCCAGAGGAGGAACTCTGTCGAGCGGTCAGAATATATTTCAAAAGAAATCAAAAGAACAAATATCCAACGATTTATATAGGGTCCTTAATCATAATAGCACCCATTATATAATTATATCAATACTATCTGTGATTGTTATTGTATGATCACAATATTAATAATTTTTATAATAAGATTTGTTACATCTATAATTACAATAAGTATAACACAACTAAAAAATAACAATGGACATCCCTACCAATATCATTTCAAGATTATTACTTCCTCCGTATCATTAAATGTGTCTATCGTCTATTATTAATTTTCAAAAAATTAAAAAACTTTAAATTTTAATCATGATTATTTTAAATATTTTAAACAATTAAAAATTTAATAAAAATATATATATTCAAAAACAACTTGATTAAAAGTTTTTAAAATATATATTTTTATATTGTTATATATTGATAATAAATTTTAAATAACGACGAGTCAAAAGTAAAAAAATTAACATGAATTTGATGATGATAGTAGGTTTGAGTAGGTATAAGATTGCAAACTCAAAATTGCATGCGCAAATTATTTTTTACAATTTTCCACACAAAAAAAAGATTGATCTTTTTGGACAAATAATCGATCTCTTTTAAAAAATAATCGGTCTCTTATGACTTATTGTATGAGAACAAAATTTTAGAAGCTTATTGAATAATAAAGATCGATCCCTTAGGTGATTAATCCCTCATATTTGAAAACATGAAAAAAAAATGCTTGAAATTGCTTTTAAATCTTCAAACTTGGTTATCAGCCTTTGGGTACTAAGAGTTGTTTTACAATTTAGTCCCAAATTTTAAAAATACAATTAAATATTAATTTTAACTCGATTGAGCTTGGAATTTCACATGCACTCTTCTGTTAATCTTAATTTTATAATTGGAAATTTAATATTTACAAAGAATTACTAAAACTAATTAGAGTATTTACAATTCAAGTAGTATTTGAAATTCGTTTGAGCTAAAAGTTTGCATAGAGTAATTATGGATGTAGATTTTTTACCAATAAACTAAATCAATTAAGTCATTTAACCAAGAAATTAAATCAATCAAACCGTTTCATCAATTTTGTTTGTTAAGATTTAACATTTTTTTTTGGAAATATTACTATCGTATGACACACTATAAATATTTTAAAGAAATAAAATAAAATCTGAAAATTCTAAAATAAATTAAAAAAATTCAAAAAAAATATTTAAATGTTAATAAATTTATAGAAATATCATCTAACAACAATCATGATGTGGCATGTGGTATCAATCCAAAAAAGACTGTGATTTAATGAATGAATTGATGGGATTTTAAAGTATTTTTACAAGACTTTATTGCTTTTTTGTCTTTCAAATTATAGTTCAAGGATTTTTGACACCTAGCATTATAATTACGTAGAGAACTGCAGTAGTTTGTTTACGCTACGTTGAGTTTCCATAACGCTGACATGTTTATTTTATTAGTTTCATATGGGAGTATTAAACACAAGGAGTCATACATTATAATTGAACTCTCAGTAGCTTAGTCATACATAATGATCTGTATAACTTGTTAAACCCATTTCTCTTTAGTCTTTTAAGGACTCAAATAGTTGCAGCATTCGCCTTCATGGCCTCGAACCTCGGCTCCTTGGCTTGGAACTTCATGCCGGCGTAGAGCTTCATGTAGTCCTCAAACACGAATTTCGGGTATACATCAGATTTCTCGGCTCCTTCGTCCACCAAAGCCGGTGCCGGATGTATAACGGCATCGTTTCCAGGGTTGTAAAACGAAGCAATGGACATTCGGGTCCCATCCGTTTGAGCAATCACACGGTGCATCACGCTTTTGTACTTCCCATTGGTGATCACCTCGAGTTGGTCCCCGAGGTTGACGACGATGGAGTGTTTCATCGGGGGAACGTCGACCCAGTTACCGTCCTTGAGGAGCTGCAGGCCGCTGACTTTGTCATCTTGGAAGAGTAATATGATTCCGCCGGCATCGGTGTGTGCCCTTAGTCCCTTGATCAGGTCTGGTTTAGGGCATGGAGGGTAGTTGCTAACTTTGGTACCGAAGTTTGGTCCTTTGGACCCATAGAAGACTTTCTTCAAGTACCCTTGCTCCAATCCAAGATTCTCACATAATAAGTCTAGAAGCTTTTCAGCCAGCTTCTCCAATTCCACTGCAAATTGTTTCATCACTACCCTGTTGTGCAACAACATCCATTTATTTATAATTGAAGCAACATGAAAAAGACAACCTGGCAAATAGATTAAGAAAAAATTCTAAATATATATATTATGTTAGGCTAAAGAAGGTCAAGAATCGGTTGTAATCGAAAAACTTACCAAGAGTAAATTGTGTAACATTTTAAGTTGAAACTGAAAATATTACGTTCTCCATAGCAAATTATGTAAATTGCATAATTATTCATGATTCAACCTAAAAAGTTATCATCAAAATATTACATATTGTAACTGAAATTATTATCGATTAATTATGTAACTGTTTAGAGAAGACAAGTAGTATTTTATATTAAAACCTGCAACAATTTAATATTTTCAGTTGTAATCGAAATTATTATCAATTGTGAACTTTTTAGGTTAAAATCCGTTGTAAATTAACCTTAAGTTGTCGTGCAACTTAACTATCATATAATCATAGTATACTATTAAAAATAACATGAGAAAAACCTGAAAAACTTAAAACTTTAACCTATAATCATCTTCGAGATCGGAGATTTCGTTAACGTTCGTTTTCGGCAAGTGGCGCAAGAAGAAAGTGCTTTCCCAGTCCATGTCATTGATCTCCGTTTGAGCTACTTGATCAAGACCCTTGCTTGCCACCATTTCTTTGAACCTTTGCTCCATGCACTTTTTGTAGTGCTCCTTTGTGTGCTTCTCCACCGTGTCCATCAGCTCATGGGATATTCCATGGTTCATCAGCTTTTTCAAAGAGAAAGTAGAAGAATTATTACAAATTACATGTCTAAAACACACATGTTATAGCTTGTTTTGTACCTCAAAGAAACCCCAATTCTCACAAGCATCTTTGATCACGTCCATGGTGGCTCCTCTCTCATCACCGTCGATTTTGGATAAATCGACAACAGGGAAAGTGAGCTCCATTGTTTCTCCCATGGCCTCGAGGTTTCACGTAAGCAGCAATGTGTTGATGTTGCTGCTCGAGGTTTGTGTGGAAACTAAGTTTATGGGAAGGAGCAATTTATAAGTGCAGAACTGATAAATTATGCCGTTAATAAAAATTTACCGTTAAAGTAGTAAATGATTATTTAATATTATAACCTGTAAACTAATAAATGTAAAACGAAACAGCCAATGAGATTATGGGAATAACATGAATCGAAGTTAAAAAAACATAAAAAGTAAAATATGTACTTTGGCTTTGATGCCAGCTGAGCAAATAAAGTAACTGTGAGTTAGCAAATGCGCGACAGAACAACACAAAAAAAAGTTAAGTCTCACCATGCTTCAATGATCATGCTGGTTGCTGGTGAGAACTTTTTCGACTGTTGTAGCATTTGTCTTAACCGTGTTTTAAGGTTTCCTTTTAAGTAGTTTGAAAATAGTATTTATTTAAAAAAAATTTAAATATAGACAACCTAAAAACAGCTGCTTAAACCCATAATTATATTACATCTGACAATGATCATTGCCTTGATATATATCTTATTGGATTAAAATCTATAATTGTGGGTACATGCGTACTGGATTATTAGGTATGGCTGAAGTACTTTTTTCAATATATATAAAATAGTATTTGTATTGGATGCTAAATTTGTAGATAAAATTATTTGAATTCCGATCATGTAGAAAACAATATATTTTCTTTATGATGGAGGATTTATTTCTCAAGGAAACTTCAACCTGGAAAACAACAAAGACATTAAGGGAATAGCATAAATGACACATCAATCAAGTTAAAAACAAAAGGCAACCCCTCATTGCAATGCCGTGAAAGAAACGAAAATCAACAAGGCAGGCAAGAGAGAAAATTAATCAAGGGAATCACTGTTGTTGCTGTGCGTTAGCAAATGCGTGACGAAACACAAAATGGAAGGCTTTTGATCAGCCTTTCCACTTACCATGCTTCCATGAACATGCCGGAGAAAAAAGTTTTTTTAATAACTGTTGAATCAACTGTCTAGTATTTTAGTTTTAGGGTCTACAATGATAATTGTTGTTGATAATATTTAGGTGAATGCGGTTATAGATGGTTCATTTTTCTAATTTGGATCGATTGTTTTGTTGTAGTCAAGGATTGGAGTTGGACGGTGAATGACTGATATTTAAGTCATCTGTTCTTATGAAAAAAGAGGAGACGTCTTACCGAGAAGCTTTATGAAAAGTTCCAGAAAAGGTACAACAACAATAATTCCTAGTAAATTAAGGGTAAAGTTCACAACTGGTCCCTTGACTACATAGTAATACTTTATTAAGTTTCTTGACTATTAAAAGTTACAAAATGATTCTCCGACTATAGAATGTTGCTTTGTTTAGTCCCTTGACTATTAAAAGTTACGAACTAGTCAGTCGACTATTCATTATGTTCCAAACTCGTCCTTTTTTTTATTAAAAATTAGCAGTTGTTTAAACTGGATGTTAACATTATGATTGTGATATGATAGTTGTTTGAAATTCTGATATCAGATTTTATCATATCACAATCAATATGTTAGCGTTCGACTCAGAGTATTGTCCATTTTTTAATAGAAAAGGACAAGTTTGAAGCATAATGAATATTCGAGTGACAATTTTGTAACTTTTAATAGTCGAGGAACTCAACAAAACAATACTCTATAGTTTGAGGACCATTTTATAATTTTAATAGTCGATAGACTTGATAAAGTAGTGCCCTATAGTCGGGGACCATTTGTGTACTTTACCCTTAAATTTAAAATTAATTTGATTTCTCAAAAAGGACAAATTGATTCTAATTTTGTTTTAAGAGATAATTTTTCTATTTTTTTATAAAATATTATTTTAAAGAAATCTTGTATCAGTTATCATCTTTTATACATGTGTTTTGCCTATAAAAAATTGTCATTGGTAGTAAAGTGAGTAATAATTCATTGAATGAGTAGAAATAGAAGGTTAGAATTATTTTTTTAATGAATATCTTCTTATTTTGTGTACTTAATTTAAGAGGTTTATTTTCACTCATCCAACGGTCTTAAATCCATATAAAACTAAAAAGTTTTTCAGTCATCCAACTGTTCTGGATATATATAAGAGTTTTTATAATGTAATTTATGTTTGAGTTGGTTTAAAAAGTTGAGAAAATAACCTCAGTGACCAAAAATGCCTTATAATATACGATTTTAACCAACTTTTTTTGGATTTGCCAAAATGACCAACTAAATCGCAATACGATCGATAATTCGCAACGCGATCTCCGGTATCGCAAATCAGTTTCCAGATTCGCAACGCGATTCTGACTATCGTATTGCGATTTCCCAAATTCACGTTGCAATTTTCCTAATTCGCAATGCGATTACGTAAATCGCAACGCGTATCTGTAAATCGCAACGAGAATACGTAAATCGCAATGTGTATCCGTAAATCGCAACGACAATGCGAAATGAAAATCGCAACGAGAGAATCGCAATGCGAAATGAAAATCGCAACGCGATTTAGTTTCGCGTTGCGATTTTGTCGTTGCGATTTTCATTTCGCATTGCGATTCTCTCGTTGCGATTTTCATTTCGCATTGCGATAGTCATTTTTGCCTTCAACATAATGCAGATTGAAATCAACAAAATCAACCATTACATTTTAATCAATTAAACAAGCACAACTAAGAATTATGTTCACTTCAATTAAACAAATCAACTTTTACAAATCATCTTTTACAAATCAATTAAACAATCAAAAAATAAACAATAATTCTTATTTCCTCATCTACTATTGAATCAACTTTTGCAGCCATACATCATTTTCACGCAGCTCACTTCTGAGATTAACCTGCAGAAACCAAACATTTGCTCAAACAACACTTTCTACACATCAAAAACCTACAAACAACAAATTATTGAATTCTAGGTACTTAACCAAACATTTTCAAACCAAAAGCCTATAAACTTACCAATTGTTTATGGACATTTTTATAACGCGGATGCAGGTAGGCAGCGTCTCGTATATATCGATCTAGCCATATAATGCCGAAACCACAAGCCTACTGCAGCTCTATCTCTATCGGTGGGAGGTAGATACTTTATACTTCCTGTGATCAAACGCTCCAACGCCAAGCATACGAGAGGACCACAATCCCCTCTGGCTCCTTCCATTTGTTGTGGTGCGGTCTCGTCTCTGCTAACTGTAATATTTAGCTTCTTTGGCTTCTTGTTTCCAGAACGAGTCCAATAATTTATCGCATCCAATAATTTAGCCAAATGAGAGCTCCATCCCTTAATAATATCTCTTAAATCAGCCAATGATATGTAATTTATCATGCTGTCATATACTATTGCCTTAAGGGATGGGAGCTGAAGCTCGACGAGAAGCCAATGTTTACGTTCCAAAACAGGGAAAAAACACCTGCAATCATAAGTAATAATTCATTCATTTGCGCATTTATTTATGAATACCTTTAAACTCAATCTAAAATAAATACTAACCTTATCGACCTCCCACCATGCAGGATAAAGTTTAGCTTGTCCATTGCCCAATGCAAATGATTCATCTCGTTGATTCTTCAAGTGAATGGCGTTAAAAGACGTCGGCATAATTGTATATCGTGTATTTCTTTTATTTTTCTTAAGTTTCCTAATTATTAGAAGACGTGACACCCACACATCGATATGCTGTTTTACAAAAAAAGACATATATTAGTGACTTACATAAATTTAAAAAAAAATAATCAAATTGAAATATAAGAAAAATATAAGACTTACCCCTCCATCGAAATAGCCATTGTCTTCGACCCCTAATAATACGCCCCACCAAGACCGATCAAGCAACAAATAGATATCATCGTTGAGCTTGCATATGTCAGTGAAACACCCCTGGCTCCGCTCATGTAGATAAAAAATCAACTGCGGTCTTAGCCCAAAGGGTGTTATCCAGAATTGTGTTCGGTAGTTGTCTCCTCTCCACTTCAGATACCGGAATGGTACTGGCCGGTAACTCATACGAGAGCCAAATCTCATCCATCATGTCCGGTACGTCAAAGGGTTTCTCAAGAATCTTACATATGACGTCATGTGAATCGGGCTCTTGAATGGTGGGAGGGACCTCTTCAACGATGACAGTGGCCTCTTGAACGATGGGAGGGGACTCTCGAGGAATGATAGGGGCCTCTTCAACGATAGGAGTGGACTCTTGAGGGATGATAGGCGAGTCGGGCTTCTTCTTGCGGTGTCTTCGCACTATTGGGGTGTACGGAGACTTAATAGCACGTGCACACTGTCTGATGTGTGAACTCCATCGTGCAAGAAAAACCCGACGTAAAGCATCCACCTTATCGGGCCGCTAAATAATTTAATACAAAAATCAGTAAATAAACAGACATGATATTTAAACAGTGAAAACAAAGACAAATATGTTTCAAACTTGCATTGTATTCACCCAAGTCATTATTCTATCATAGTTCACAAAATGCGATTTTAAGTTTCGTGTTGCGAAAGTAAACTATTTCTTCTTCTGAAAATTGAAACTTGAATGGATTGCATTACTTCAACCAAAAGATAAAACAAAGACAAATACTAACTTCAGAGTATTAAAGAATACACAGTTTAGCAGAATTGGCAGCAACCGAACAAATTTATTTTCAACCAAAAGACAAAACAAAGACAAATACTAACTTCACAGTGTTAAAGAATACACAGTTTAACAGAATTGGCAGCAACCGAACAAATTTACTTTCAACCAAAAGACAAAACAAAGACAAATACTAATTTCACAGTGTTAAAGAATACACATTTTAGCAGAATTGGCAGCAACCGAATAAATTTACTTCAACCAAAAGAAAAAACAAAAGACAAATACTAACTTCACAGTGTTAAAGAATAAACAGTTTAGCAGTATTGGCAGCAACCGAATAAATTTACTAAGCAATCTAAGTGAAATGGTTAATCTAAGTCAAATTACGAGTAAATTTATCATCAAGTTAAATATGGAAAATCTTAAACTTACCTCATTGCGTAGAGTATGAACCTCATTCTGCAACGATAC